TGTTGTATTTACTGATGTGAATATAAAACTACAATTAGTTGACGTGAAAATCAATTCCAATCCAGTGATTCAGTTTCTCGTTTGTTATCTCCAGTTTGGCTGATGGTGACAGCACCAGAGTGAGTGCCATTTGCTCATTCAAAAATGATTCCGACTCCGAGAAGGTCGACAGAGTTCTGGTGTATCACGTGTTTGAAAATAAGACGGAGCAAATCACTGTCCTGGGGCCATACTCACTGCAGAGTGACAGCCTCTATGTATCAGGTATTTACTCAATAGTTTCTTACATTCCACTCATTATTGACAAGAACTCTCCAGTTTACAAATTGTAACAACTCTTATTGAAACCACAAACTGTTTTGTTTTCAGGCTACAATGAATCAACTCCATTGACAAGTGAGTGTTATTTACTGTATTTTCACCACAGAAAGTCTAATTTTACTATCACAACCTATATTTTACATTTAATTCGAAGAACAATTCCTATTGTGGACAAAATATATTGTAAAATTGATGGATCATGATAGGATTTGCTTTGTTCATGTTATTTGCCTCTTTCTGTAGCTCCTACTCCATTCGTGTCTGTAACTCCAACTCCAACTGAGGGACCAACACTGATTGACTTCAATGTCACCTTCATAATAAGCAGCCCATCCTTCACACAAATGCAACAGAATTCAACTTCCCAACTCCTCAACCCTAACCACGCAACCAACATCTCATCCAAGGTGAGAAAGTGGCCAAATCTGAACCCAGAAAATATACCTTTGGTTTAATGTGTTTCTTTGTCTAAAATATCAATGATTGTTCTCTGACAGCTGAATGAGCTCTTCCACACCAGCAAGCTGAACACAACATTCGCGAGTTGCACTGTACTTGCACTCAGGTATGAAATATTGCTGCCTTTTATATGGACTTCTGTTTTATTCACTGATGTGAATTTAAAACTACAATTTATTGACGTGAAAATCAATTCCAATCCAGTGATTCAGTTTCTCGTTTGTTATCTCCAGTTTGGCTGATGGTGACAGCACCAGAGTGAGTGCCATTTGCTCATTCAAAAATGATTCTGACTCCGAGAAGGTCGACAGAGTTCTGGTGTATCACGTGTTTGAAAATAAGACGGAGCAAATCACTGTCCTGGGGCCATACTCACTGCAGAGTGACAGCCTCTATGTATCAGGTATTTACTCAATAGCTTCTTACATTCCACTCATTATTGACAAGAACTCTCCAGTTTACAAATTGTAACAACTCTTATTGAATCCACAAACTGTTTTGTTTTCAGGCTACAATGAATCAACTCCATTGACAAGTGAGTATTATTTACTGTATTTTCACCACAGAAAGTCTAATTTTACTATCACAACCTATATTTTACATTAAAGGTTACATCTAAGAACAATTCCTTTTGTGGACAAAATATATTGTAAAATTGATGGATCATGATAGGATTTCCTTCGATTATGTTATTTGCCTCTTTCTGTAGCTCCAACTCCATTCGTGTCTGTAACTCCAACTCCAACTCCAACTGAGGGACCAACACTGATTGACTTCAATGTCACCTTCATAATAAGCAGCCCATCCTTCACACAAATGCAACAGAATTCAACTTCCCAACTCCTCAACCCTAACCACGCAACCAACATCTCATCCAAGGTGAGAAAGTGGCCAAATCGCAACGCAGAAAATTTACATTTGGTTTAATGTGTTTCTTGTTCTAAAATATCAATGATTGTTCTCTGACAGCTGAATGAGCTCTTCCACACCAGCAAGCTGAACACAACATTCGCGAGTTGCACTGCCCTTGCACTCAGGTATGAAATGTTGCTGCCTTTTATATGGAATTCTGTTGTATTTACTGATGTGAATATAAAACTACAATTAGTTGACGTGAAAATCAATTCCAATCCAGTGATTCAGTTTCTCGTTTGTTATCTCCAGTTTGGCTGATGGTGACAGCACCAGAGTGAGTGCCATTTGCTCATTCAAAAATGATTCTGACTCTGAGAAGGTCGACAGAGTTCTGGTTTATCACGTGTTTGAAAATAAGACGGAGCAAATCACTGTCCTGGGGCCATACTCACTGCAGAGTGACAGCCTCTATGTATCAGGTATTTACTCAATAATTTCTTACATTCCACTCATTATTGACAAGAACTCTCCAGTTTACAAATTGTAACAACTCTTATTGAATCCACAAACTGTTTTGTTTTCAGGCTACAATGAATCAACTCCATTGACAAGTGAGTGTTATTTACTGTATTTTCACCACAGAAAGTCTAATTTTACTATCACAACCTATATTTTACATTTAATTCTAAGAACGATTCCTATTGTGGACAAAATATATTGTAAAATTGATGGATCATGATAGGATTTCCTTCGATTATGTTATTTGCCTCTTTCTGTAGCTCCAACTCCATTCGTGTCTGTAACTCCAACTCCAACTGAGGGACCAACACTGATTGACTTCAATGTCACCTTCATAATAAGCAGCCCATCCTTCACACAAATGCAACAGAATTCAACTTCCCAACTCCTCAACCCTAACCACGCAACCAACATCTCATCCAAGGTGAGAAAGTGGCCAAATCGCAATGCCAGAAAATTTACATTTGGTTTAATGTGTTTCTTGTTCTAAAATATCAATGATTGTTCTCTGACAGCTGAATGAGCTCTTCCACACCAGCAAGCTGAACACAACATTCGCGAGTTGCACTGTACTTGCACTCAGGTATGAAATATTGCTATCTTTTATATGGAATTCTGTTGAAACATATTCAAAGACTGTTGTATTTACTGATGTGAATATAAAACTACAATTAGTTGACGTGAAAATCAATTCCAATCCAGTGATTCAGTTTCTCGTTTGTTATCTCCAGTTTGGCTGATGGTGACAGCACCAGAGTGAGTGCCATTTGCTCATTCAAAAATGATTCCGACTCCGAGAAGGTCGACAGAGTTCTGGTTTATCACGTGTTTGAAAATAAGACGGAGCAAATCACTGTCCTGGGGCCATACTCACTGCAGAGTGACAGCCTCTATGTATCAGGTATTTACTCAATAGTTTCTTACATTCCACTCATTATTGACAAGAACTCTCCAGTTTACAAATTGTAACAACTCTTATTGAAACCACAAACTGTTTTGTTTTCAGGCTACAATGAATCAACTCCATTGACAAGTGAGTGTTATTTACTGTATTTTCACCACAGAAAGTCTAATTTTACTATCACAACCTATATTTTACATTTAATTCGAAGAACGATTCCTATTGTGGACAAAATATATTGTAAAATTGATGGATCATGATAGGATTTGCTTTGTTCATGTTATTTGCCTCTTTCTGTAGCTCCAACTCCATTCGTGTCTGTAACTCCAACTCCAACTCCAACTGAGGGACCAACACTGATTGACTTCAATGTCACCTTCATAATAAGCAGCCCATCCTTCACACAAATGCAACAGAATTCAACTTCCCAACTCCTCAACCCTAACCACGCAACCAACATCTCATCCAAGGTGAGAAAGTGGCCAAATCTGAACCCAGAAAATATACCTTTGGTTTAATGTGTTTCTTTGTCTAAAATACCAATGATTGTTCTCTGACAGCTGAATGAGCTCTTCCACACCAGCAAGCTGAACACAACATTCGCGAGTTGCACTGTACTTGCACTCAGGTATGAAATATTGCTATCTTTTATATGGACTTCTGTTTTATTCACTGATGTGAACATAAAACTACAATTTATTGACGTGAAAATCAATTCCAATCCAGTGATTCAGTTTCTCGTTTGTTATCTCCAGTTTGGCTGATGGTGACAGCACCAGAGTGAGTGCCATTTGCTCATTCAAAAATGATTCTGACTCTGAGAAGGTCGACAGAGTTCTGGTGTATCACGTGTTTGAAAATAAGACGGAGCAAATCACTGTCCTGGGGCCATACTCACTGCAGAGTGACAGCCTCTATGTATCAGGTATTTACTCAATAGTTTCTTACATTCCACTCATTATTGACAAGAACTCTCCAGTTTACAAATTGTAACAACTCTTATTGAATCCACAAACTGTTTTGTTTTCAGGCTACAATGAATCAACTCCATTGACAAGTGAGTGTTATTTACTGTATTTTCACCACAGAAAGTCTAATTTTACTATCACAACCTATATTTTACATTTAATTCTAAGAACGATTCCTATTGTGGACAAAATATATTGTAAAATTGATGGATCATGATAGGATTTCCTTCGATTATGTTATTTGCCTCTTTCTGTAGCTCCAACTCCATTCGTGTCTGTAACTCCAACTCCAACTGAGGGACCAACACTGATTGACTTCAATGTCACCTTCATAATAAGCAGCCCATCCTTCACACAAATGCAACAGAATTCAACTTCCCAACTCCTCAACCCTAACCACGCAACCAACATCTCATCCAAGGTGAGAAAGTGGCCAAATGTGAACCCTGAAAATATACCTTTGGTTTAATGTGTTTCTTTGTCTAAAATATCAATGATTGTTCACTGACAGCTGAATGAGCTCTTCCACACCAGCAAGCTGAACACAACATTCACGAGTTGCACTGTACTTGTACTCAGGTATCAAATATTGCTATCTTTTATATGGACTTCTGTTTTATTCACTGATGTGAACATAAAACTACAATTTATTGACGTGAAAATCAATTCCAATCCAGTGATTCAGTTTCTCGTTTGTTATCTCCAGTTTGGCTGATGGTGACAGCACCAGAGTGAGTGCCATTTGCTCATTCAAAAATGATTCTGACACCGAGAAGGTCGACAGAGTTCTGGTTTATCACGTGTTTGAAAATAAGACGGAGCAAATCACTGTCCTGGGGCCATACTCACTGCAGAGTGACAGCCTCTATGTATCAGGTATTTACTCAATAGCTTCTTACATTCCACTCATTATTGACAAGAACTCTCCAGTTTACAAATCGTAACAACTCTTATTGAAACCACAAACTGTTTTGTTTTCAGGTTACCATGAATCAATGGCATTAACAAGTGAGTATTATTTACTGTATTTTCACCACAGAAAGTCTAATTTTACTATCACAACCTATATTTTACATTAAAGATTACGTCTAAGAACAATTCCTATTGTGGACAAAATATATTGTAAAATTGATGGATCATGATAGGATTTCCTTCGATTATGTTATTTGCCTCTTTCTGTAGCTCCAACTCCATTCGTGTCTGTAACTCCAACTCCAACTGAGGGACCAACACTGATTGACTTCAATGTCACCTTCATAATAAGCAGCCCATCCTTCACACAAATGCAACAGAATTCAACTTCCCAACTCCTCAACCCTAACCACGCAACCAACATCTCATCCAAGGTGAGAAAGTGGCCAAATCGCAACGCAGAAAATTTACATTTGGTTTAATGTGTTTCTTGTTCTAAAATACCAATGATTGTTCTCTGACAGCTGAATGAGCTCTTCCACACCAGCAAGCTGAACACAACATTCGCGAGTTGCACTGTACTTGCACTCAGGTATGAAATATTGCTATCTTTTATATGGACTTCTGTTTTATTCACTGATGTGAATTTAAAAGTACAATTTATTGACGTGAAAATCAATTCCAATCCAGTGATTCAGTTTCTCGTTTGTTATCTCCAGTTTGGCTGATGGTGACAGCACCAGAGTGAGTGCCATTTGCTCATTCAAAAATGATTCTGACTCCGAGAAGGTCGACAGAGTTCTGGTGTATCACGTGTTTGAAAATAAGACGGAGCAAATCACTGTCCTGGGGCCATACTCACTGCAGAGTGACAGCCTCTATGTATCAGGTATTTACTCAATAGCTTCTTACATTCCACTCATTATTGACAAGAACTCTCCAGTTTACAAATTGTAACAACTCTTATTGAAACCACAAACTGTTTTGTTTTCAGGCTACAATGAATCAACTCCATTGACAAGTGAGTATTATTTACTGTATTTTCACCACAGAAAGTCTAATTTTACTATCACAACCTATATTTTACATTAAAGGTTACGTCTAAGAACAATTCCTTTTGTGGACAATATATATTTTAAAATTGATGGATCATGATAGGATTTCATTCATTTATGTTATTTGCCTGTTTCTGTAGCTCCAACTCCATTCGTGTCTGTAACTCCAAATCCAACTGAGGGACCAACACTGATTGACTTCAATATCACTTTCATAATAAGCAGCCCATCCTTCACACAAATGCAACAGAATTCAACTTCCCAACTCCTCAACCCTAACCACACAACCAACATCTCATCCAAGGTGAGAAAGTGGCCAAATCGCAACGCAGAAAATTTACATTTGGTTTAATGTGTTTCTTGTTCTAAAATACCAATGATTGTTCTCTGACAGCTGAATGAGCTCTTCCACACCAGCAAGCTGAACACAACATTCGTGAGTTGCACTGCACTTGCACTGAGGTATGAAATATTGCTGCCTTTTATATGGACTTCTGTTGAAACATATTGAAAGAATGTTGTCTTTACTGATGTGAACATAAAACTAGAATTAGTTGACGTGAAAATCCATTCCAATCCAGTGATTCAGTTTCTCGTTTGTTATCTCCAGTTTGGCTGATGGTGACAGCACCAGAGTGAGTGCCATTTGCTCATTCAAAAATGATTCTGACTCTGAGAAGGTCGACAGAGTTCTGGTGTATCGCGTGTTTGAAAATAAGACGGAGCAAATCACTGTCCTGGGGCCATACTCACTGCAGAGTGACAGCCTCTATGTATCAGGTATTTACTCAATAGCTTCTTACATTACACTCACTGTTGACAAGAACTCTCCAGTTTACAAATTGTCGTAACTCATATTAACACCAGAAACTCTTTTCTTTTCAGGTTACCATGAATCCACTCCTTTAACAAGTGAGTATTATTTACTGTATTTTCACCACAGAAAGTCTAATTTTACTATCACAACCTATATTTTACATTAAAGGTTACGTCTAAGAACGATTCCTTTTGTGAACAAAATATATTTCAAAATTGATGGATCATGATAGGATTCCCTTCATCTATGTTATTTGCCTCTTTCTGTAGCTCCAACTCCATTCGTGTCTGTAACTCCGACTCCAACTGAGGGACCAACTCTGATTGGTTTCAATGTCACCTTCATAATAAGCAGCCCATCCTTCACACAAATGCAACAGAATTCAACTTCCCAACTCCTCAACCCTAACCACGCAACCAACATCTCATCCAAGGTGAGAAAGTGCTCAAATCTGAACCCAGAAAATATACATTTGGTTTAATGTGTTTTTTGTGTAAAATACCAATGATTGTTCTCTGACAGCTGAATGAGCTCTTCCACACCAGCAAGCTGAACACAACATTCACGAGTTGCACTGTACTTGCACTCAGGTATGAAATATTGCTATCTTTTATATGGACTTCTGTTTTATTCACTGATGTGAATTTAAAAGTACAATTTATTGACGTGAAAATCAATTCCAATCCAGTGATTCAGTTTCTCGTTTGTTATCTCCAGTTTGGCTGATGGTGACAGCACCAGAGTGAGTGCCATTTGCTCATTCAAAAATGATTCTGACTCTGAGAAGGTCGACAGAGTTCTGGTGTATCACGTGTTTGAAAATAAGACGGAGCAAATCACTGTCCTGGGGCCATACTCACTGCAGAGTGACAGCCTCTATGTATCAGGTATTTACTCAATAGTTTCGTACATTCCACTCTCTATTGACAGATACTCACTAACTCTCCAGTTACAAATTCAGAACTTGTATTCACACCAGATTCATCTACTTTCAGGTTACCATGAAGCAAACCCTCTCACAAGTGAGTGTGATTTAAGCTGCTGTGTGTTTACCAAACCCCTTTCTGTCTCGATATTTCTTGAATGAATGTTATCCGGTGATTCAGTTCTTTGACTGCGTTGGAAATTAACCAACAACGATAGAGATAAGGAAACAGCTTCAATGTGTTTAAGAAAGACCATTTCTTGATCACTGCTTGGTTTAAATAAAAAAATGTTACCCCCGGATCTCTCCCTCTCCTCTCTCCAGCGGCTGTACCAACCGTGGCTGAAACACAAACTCCCATTGAGTCAATCTCCACTGTCTTTAATGTGACTTTCATCGTTACTAACCTGGCATTCCACCCAAGTCTACAAGACCCCAACTCACACCTGTACAAATCTGCAGCTGGCATTATTGCTCATCAGGTATGAACACTGTTGTTTGTGGAACATTGCTGCGCGCAATTTTGCCGCCATGTTCACCCACAAAATACTGTCCCTACACTTTGCAGTAAATCCTGTGAGACGCTCTCTTGACATGCAAGGCGCCATTCCAAATGCAAGGATTATTGTTATACTTTTACTAGAATGCTGTAATTGTGTTTGTTTCAGCTGAATGCCTTGTATAATCACAGCAAAATAAATTCAACATTCTTGGAATGCAATGTGGTCTCTTTAAGGTAAGAATTCACTATTCTTTCAAACCAGTTAACTCTGGCATGAATCAATATTCTAGCTGCTGCAGATGATGCTGTAATATCTTCATTACTGTTCAAGTGACTTTGCTGTGTGCAAACTGGCTGCTGCATTTGTCTATACACATAAACAGTCACTGCACTTTCCAGTAAATCCTATGAAGCACTTGAAGACATTCTCCTCAAATGAAAGACACAATATCAAATGCATGCATTATTATTGTTGTTATATTGCTTTGAATAAACAATATAAATCAGGCACGCTTATTAACAATTATCCTCATAAATGTACGACTGTTTACGATGGTTCACAATATTATTTCAATTCCATTTTTCTTGCCGACTGTTTACGATGGTTCACGATATTATTTCAATTCCATTTTTCTTGCCAGCCGTGCGGGCATTGAGAATACGAGAGTACATGCAGAGTGTTCGTTCAAGAATAATTCAGCTTCACACCGAGTTGATCGAGTTGTTGTGTACCACGTGTTCAGTAACAAGACTGAAGTCATCTCCGTTTTAGGAACTTACACACTGGACAGCAACAGCCTCTATGTGAATGGTATGAGTGATTGAGTGTTTAGAGGGCTGGGTTGTTCCAGGGAGAGAGTTTGCATTGCATTCCAGACACAGGGACATTTTCATGCTCAGTTAATAATAAATAATAAATAAATAAATTTCAAACAACTACTTGAATGGAACCTACTTCTAGCTTCCAAGTTATTTCAAGTGAGGAAATGTTTATTCAATGTGCATCTTACCTGTAGCTCATTGCTTCGAGCACTCACCTCACAGGCGAGAGGACCTGGGTTCAATTCCGAGGCAGGGTGAAAGTTGAGTAATGTTCCTTACTTCATATACCTCTGTTTACATAAGCAATAAATAAGAACCTGTTTGTTAGTCGATTGGCAGATTGCTTTTAAAAAAAATGTGTTAAAAATTTAAAAAAAAGAATAATTTTGTCACTCAATCCACGACTGTTTGTGGGACATTGCCATGTGCCATGTGCCATTGGCTGCCATATTTCGCCCACAAACTAAACAGTCAATTGACTTTACATTGTATTCTGTGAAGCATTTTGAGATATCTCAAATACATAATAAGGTGCTATATCAAATGCAAGGATTATTATTACTACCTCAAGTGATAAGCTTAAATGACATTGTAAAAGAAAAGTTTCATTCATTCAGTCTTTTACTCTATTCCCAGATTACCACGAATCAGCTCCTCTGAGCAGTGAGTATACTTGATCTGTTTTCCTTTTTGTTAATCTTTATTAATGGGTTTTTAACAATGATTGAAAAAACTTGTGCTTTCCTTTTTCTTACAAAAAAAGGAACGGTTATTTTGCTTGTGAAATATTAACATGTTCTGGTTTCTTTCCAGCGATACCACCCACTGTGCCTGAACCACAAAACCCAGATAAGGCCTGCAAGTCCCTGTGTTTTAATGTGACTTTCATTGTATCTAATCTGCCGTTCATCCCAAATCTACAAAACCCCAATTTACATCTCCACAAGTCTGCAGCCGGCATTATTGCTCATCAGGTATAAACACATCAACAACAACAACAAAATTACATTTATGGAGGGCCTTTCACGTCGGGAGGACGTCCCAAAGTGCTGAACAGTCAGGTGTCGGAGCCCGAGCATGGGGGAGGGGGGGGTATAAGAAGTGGGAGAAGGCAGAGAGGTGGGAAGGAAACCAAAGGCACGGTCGAAGAGAAGGGTCTTAAGACCGGCCTTGAAGGAGGCAAGGGAGGAAGCGAGACGAAGGGACCTTGTGATGGACTTCCAGAATGTGGGGCAGAGAGGCTGAAAACCCGGCCACCGATGGTAGGGCAGTTCAGACGGGAGACATGGAGCAAGCCGGAGCCTGATCAATGGAGGGAGCGGGCAGGTTGGTAAGGAGTCAGCAGGTCAGAGAGGTGGGAGGGAGCAAGGCCATGTATGGCATTCAAGGTGAGGTCAAGGATCTTGAACTCGATCCTCTGGGGAATGGGGAGCCAGTGGAGTCGGGCG